GGTAAAACCTCAGCGCCTAGGACTTGCCGATTGTATGGTCAGCGGTTCGAATCCCCGCGGCGGGGTGAGCTCCCGTTGTTCGGTCCCAGCTCCTGCCCACCTAGCAGTTCGAAAGCACTCTTAGTGCAAGTAAATAAATAGGTACCGCTTTATAGCGGGAAGGTAAACGGCGTTTCCGTGTGCTGCGCTGATGCAGGCTCGCCAGAGCAGCTTCGTCACGCTGGCCACGTGACCCGGAAGTGTCTCCGGACAGCGCTGGCCCCCGGCCTCTTAAGTGAGATGGGTGCACAACCCTAGAGTCGGACACGACTGGCCTGTATGGGCAGGGGTACCTTTACCTTTACCTTTAAACCTCAGATGGGACTGCTATAGAAACCATTGATTGACCTACATCATTCCAGGCTTGCAGCTGCAGACATCTGCCAACTGCTACAGATGCTACCATGGTGAAGCCACGAGATCAACCTAAATGTGTTGATGCCACTGTGTGAACAATAACAACAGCAGCAGCAGTTCTCAAGCACTTCTTTCAGAAGTCTGCATAACTGACCGAGGGAGGCAACGGGGCAAAAGAAATAAAGTGAAAAGCAAAATCTCTCAGACAACTTTCAGCTCTCCCCAGACCTGTTGTAACCTGGGAGTAAACACAATAATATGATCATTTGCAGCTAAGTTGCATAATAGCTGGGTTATACAAGATGATGCCTTAGGTTACTTAAGTAGATGTCACATAAACGTTGGTGGTGTTACTGCTGCTTGAAGGTGTCTAAGTGGCTACTCTAGTTCCTTTCCCTGACCATAGCCAATTTCATTTCCTAACACCACCATAGCTAGCTCACAGGTGTGTTCAGGTGGAGTCCCTTGAAGTCTTCCCATTGTTCAGGGTTTTTGGGGTCTTCACCAGAAGTCTAGGCTGTGACTTGTTTCCTCAACTCCACTGTCACTGTGGCCTCAGCTCTACCAAAGACTGTTACTGGAGTCCTCTCCCGCAAGCATTCGCAGCTTTCAGGTTGGCTACTCAGATCTTCATGAGCTGCCAGCCTCTGCTGCTTCCGACTCTTCCTCTCCAGGCTTCTTCGTGCCTCTTCAGAGTTCATCAAGGCTTGCCTGCCTGACCCTCATAACTGTCCTGAGCTTGGCCTTGTATTCCCATCAGCTTGTTCTATAATGATGGACTGATAATGATGGACTGATACAAATGACCACCTTTGGATGCTAGAGCTCTGTACATAAAAGGCAAAATCTTGAAAGTACACAGTTGTACCCTTAACAACAGTGACTATCACAGATTAACTGCCACTTGGAGGATTGCTGGGTACATTTGTGTTTCTCAAACAGTGGGCAGTGGGACTCAGTGCCAAAGCCTGCCCAGAGCCTCCTCACTTGTCTGCCTCAACTCCTAACCATGTCCAGTGTCAACACAAGCAACTACTTGCTTGCTGAGTAAAGGTGTCTTGGGGAAAGATGTTCAGAGGAGGAGAAAGTGTGGGAATCAGACTCTAGTTCCCATTTGCAGAGGAAGACAGCCCTGGGTCCTTTGGCCCTTCAATTAGTTCTCTTTTCTCCTCCTATAAAAACCATGCAAGACAGTCTCTTTTAAAGTTTAAAGAACAAATAACTTACTTAGTGTACTTGCAGTTGCAGATTAAAAATACCATGCAGGTAGACGATACTTAAGTCGCAAAAACATCTTACATAGATTTGTACCTAAGACTGGCATTTACAGACTGGCTGGTACTCTGAGGCAGGCAGTGGCACACAGTGGCGTAGCGTGGGGGGTGCAGGGGGGGCCGGCCGCACCGGGCGCAACATCTGGGGTTAGGGCAAATCCACAGGTTAGGGGGCGCAAATCCACGGGTTAGGGGGCGCAAATTACTTGCCTTGCCCCGGGTGCTGACAACCCACGCTACGCCACTGGTGGCACAACATTGGAAGAGTTTGGATTTGACATCCCACTTTATCACTACCCAAAGGAGTCTCAAAGCAGCTAACATTCTCCTTTCCCTTCCTCCCCACAACAAACACTCTGTGAGGTGAGTGGGGCTGAGAGACTTCAGAGAAGTGTGACTAGCCCAAGGTCACCCAGCAGCTGCATGTGGAGGAGCGGGGAATCGAACCCAGTTCACCAGATTACAAGTCTACCACTACACCACACTGGCTCTAACATAACATACCTGCTGCCCTTAACTGTTAAGACTGTTAACTGGCACAACTGTACCAATTGCCATAGCTGCCACAGAGCGTAAGACATCACAGAGTTCGACAGCTCTTGCAATTAATGCTTCACATGTGCATTTTGGATGCTAGCATCTCACAGAAAGGAGGCCCAAAGGAGGTGTTGAAGGAGATTAGAAAGTGAGATTCAAGGTTAGTATTTATTAACAACAAATGAACTCATAAGCTGGGAATGAATATGAAAGATGCTACAGGAGGAAGGAGTGAATGTAAAAGGACCAGGGAGGAGGGAAACTGGTACAAGGGCGTATCCGGGGGGAGCAGCTGTCCCCCCCGCATCAAGTAAATAAATAAAAAATACTTAACTAACTGACCAACTGTGTCACAGATAACTTGGTTCTGCTCCTCTAACATAAAAAGTAATTATTATTACTTTTTCTTGTGAGTTTTTCTTTATACTGGGAGGGAGAAATCCAGAGCAGTGAAGAGATACTTAACCTGTTCCTACCTGGTGGGTGTTGGGTTTTTTACTTCAGGTTTCCTTTGAAAGTAATTTCCCCCTCCAGGGGCCCAGATGAATGAATGGGAGGGCAGACACACATCTGGAACCCTGTGGGGAAGAGGTAGGTTGGACAATGGTATATCAAGTGGGAAAGTGGCCACAGGGGAAGAATTAAGCATTCCCTGCTGCCAAAGCTTCTCTGTTCCATACTGGTCTGCTACTGATTGTTTTTTGGGTGGGTGGGGAAGCTTTTTCAGGGAGAGTTACATATCTGAATATGTAACATCTAGTTCAGCTCTCCGAATTTCCTCCTTTGGAGATGAATTAAATCAAGTCTTTGAAGCTTACTCTACATGAGTTTCTTACAGAAGATTTGAAACACATGGTTTGCATTTCCCCCCCTACATAGACATGTTATCTGTGCAGGAAATTCACCATATCTAAAAATTTGAAGGAACCCACAAAGTAGGTATGCTGAAAACACTCAAAGGGGGGGGGGGAGCATGCAGCAATGTGCTCAAAACAAATAACGTTGTTGTTCTGCAAATGAAGTCTTCCAAAACAAATCTTGGCTTCCAACACAAATCTTGGTTTATCTGGAGAGAAACAAACCATGAACATTTGTTTGCATATGATGGTAAGCTTAGACTTATGGTTTGTTGCTCCTGGCTTGAAGTGCAAAGCAAAACATGAGGAGTTCAGCAGCATGCACTCGCGCATTGTAAGCCATGTTCACAGTAAGCCATGGTTTTTGGCAGGGATGGAGAACCTCAAGTCCAGGGGCCAAAACTGCCTCCCCCCAGTTTATCTTGATATGGCACTTGGAACTCTTGAACTCTGATAATGCTTTTGCTCCTCTAGATGGAAGATAGAGAGGGGAGTGTCAGCGGATGTGGACACTTGCCTGTTGTACAAAAGTAAAATGTGTGCTTGGTGACTCTGTCCACTGCTGGCCCATGGCCTGCGAAGATTGCACAGAAGGGAACGTGACCTCCCCAGGCTGAAGAAGCTTCTCCATCCCTTGTTTATGACTTTCCATGATGAATAAATTTGGTTAGTATCTCCATTCCAGCCAGCAGCTTCAACAGTTTATCAAACTGTATGGGATATTCCTTCTGCTGCAGGGGATGGAGAAAAGAACTTGACAGGAATGGACAAGGAGACAGGGCTAGAGTTTTGTGGCAATTTTATCGTAATCTGCTTTCATTGGTAAGTAAATATGAAGCATGAGATGGAAATAAGTGGGAAGCACTAAGTTGTCACTAAGTTGCCAACAAAGGTCCGTATAGTAAAAGTAAAAGTTTTCCCAGTAGTGATGTATGGGAGTGAGAGCTGGACCATCAAGAAGGCTGATCGCCGAAGAACTGATGCTTTTCAATTCTGGTGCTGGAGGAGACTCTTGAGAGTCCCATGGACTGCAAGAAGATCAAACCTCTCCATTCTGAAGGAAATCAGCCCTGAGTGCTCACTGGAAGGACAGATCCTGAAGCTGAGGCTCCAATACTTTGGCCACCTCATGAGAAGAGAAGACTCCCTGGAAAAGACCCTGATGCTGGGAAAGATGGAGGGCACAAGGAGAAGGGGACGACAGAGGACGAGATGGTTGGACAGTGTTCTCAAAGCTACCAGCATGAGTTTGACCAAACTGCGGGAGGCAGTGGAAGACAGGAGTGGCTGGCGTGCTCTGGTCCATGGGGTCACGAAGAGTGGGACACGACTAAATGACTAAACAACAACAACAAGTTGTCACAGAAGAAAAAAAATCAGTCACAACATCAAAATCCCATGCTGAGCTTCTGCTCTTTCTGGAGAGAGGGAACCTGTGGCTCTCAGGATGTTGTCTGACCACAACTCCCATTATTCCCAAACACTGGCCAAGCTGGCAAGGTCCCAGGGGAGCTGCCACTCAACAACATTTGGAGGGCAACCTTCTAGCAACTTCAGAATTGACTCTGCAGAGTCAAAATAGGTAAGAGGTATATTAAACTGTTGAAAGAATATGCAAGATTTGAAGCTACAGAAACAGTAGTAGAAAGGACAGGTAATTTGTGCTCAGTTATGAATACAGCAAAGCAACCTCCATGCACATGTAAATACTTCCAAGAAAATAGCTAGACCACAAACCATTTAGCACATCAAAAGCTGTACTTAAGTCAGTAGGGTATTAATTACTGTTGTAACAAGCCAAGATTCCTGTTCAGCTCATTGTTCTTGGTTTTTCACAAGGTTTATACACAGGGTTGTTTATAAAGTCCTTGATGTGATTAAAACATTGAAATGTTACTAAACTGAGATAAAGCAGCCGTTCTACTTACTATATTAGGTTGTTTAACCGCTTTTTCTGTTTATGCAACAAAACCTTAATTCTGATGTGGCTGAAGGTGAACATCTGCCATATTACACAACAACAAGTAAGATGTGTTTCAACCTTTGCAAAATAGAATTAATGATGGCTCTATAGCTGTAGCCAAGCCAGATCTTCCCCAATATGTCTCCTTGTTGGACAGGGGCTGCCTTCAAAGGCAACATCAGCCCCTTCCCACAACTAACCTCCTCCAGTCATTCTCCTGTCACAAAAAAACAGTTGTGTGAGGGCAAGTGTGGGGCTGCACTCGCTTGCCCCTCATCTCCCATTCACATGAAGCACAGAACTTCCTTGTTGTGGGGGTAGGCTTTCCAGTCATCCCAACATTGAGCATCAACTGATGTGTGTGGGGGGGGATCTATCCTGCTTGGTTGCTATCTAGCCCACCCCTGCTGGCCAACTTCGCCAGATGAGCACGTCCACCCACCTGCTAATCATCACCTGATGTCATTGTGATAGCTGATAACGCAAAGTTGTCAGAATTAGTCCACAGGGGAAGACAAAGATTTGGCCTGCTGGGCCACAAAGGTTCCTCCTCTTTAATTTAATACTTAGGATGGTGAGCAAAAGTCCCCAGACAAACAATCCATGTCAATCTTCAGGAACCAACTTTCAAGTAAAGACTGAAACCACCATAGCATAGTGTTGCTAAGTCAGTTTTTGCCATGCAGTTTTTGCAGCTTTTCAGAATGCTTCAGTCTGAATAAAGAGAAGTCGACTGTGGCTGGCACTAAAAAGCTAGTGCCAACGGTGTTGCCACACTGCTGGGGCACATCTGCAACTATTTCCAGAATGTTCATTCTGTAAAATGTAAAGGGGCCCCTGACCATTAGGTGCAGTCGTGACTGACTCTGGGGTTGCGGCGCTCATCTCGCTTTATTGGCTGAGGGAGCCGGCGTACAGCTTCCAGGTCATGTGGCCAGTATGACTAAGCCGCTTCTGGCGAACCAGAGCAGTGCACGGAAACGCCTTTACCTTCCCACTGGAGCGGTACCTATTTATCTACTTGCACTTTGATATGCTTTTGAAATGCTAAATTGGCAGGAGAAGAGACAGAGCAACAGGAGCTCACCCCGTCATGGGGATTCGAACTGCCAACCTTCTGACCGGCAAACCCTAGGCTCTGTGGTTTAGACCACAGTGCCACCCGCGTCCCTCAACCACTGACTTAAGAGAAGCATTCAAGCAGTAGTCATCTTCATAACAACCAATCAGTCTTCTTAGCAAAATGATTGTGCATGTGCCGTGTCCAAGCAGATAAAAGCAGATAAAGTGAGGGAACAGGCAAGCCTGATGTCTGAATGAGCATTCATCTACTGATATACTAGGGAACTTTCATTCCCTGGAAAAATTTCGCTGTTCTTCACTGTTGAAGTTTGTCTTTGCCAAAGCCTATACACCACAGTATAGGTACTGACTACAGACACAATGATAATGTTCTTGGCTCTTCTTTCCTTACACTTCCTTCCAATATATCCACATATATATTTGTATCCACAGTGCCAAGCATAACATATGACCAAAGTTTGCAAAAGACTTTGCAAAAAAACAACACTAAACAGAAATTCCCTGCCCCCACCCAAAGGCTCACTGCTTTTAGACAATTTAAATTAAGAAGGGAGGGAGACAGGGAGAGAGATAGGGAGGAGGAACTTAAGTCTTTTTGAGGTTCACGAGAAGCAGGTACAGTGGTACCTCGGGTTACAGACGCTTCAGGTTACATATGTTTCAGGTTACAGATTCCACTAACCCAGAAATAGTGCTTCAGGTTAAGAACTTTGCTTCAGGATGAGAACAGAAATTGTGCTCTGGCGGCGCGGTGGCAGCAGGAGGCCCCATTAGCTAAAGTGGTGCTTCAGGTTAAGAACAGTTTCAGGTTAAGAACGGACCTCCAGAACGAATTAAGTACTTAACCCGAGGTACCACTGTATACCTTTTTCAAGAGTATGGGTCTAAGACCAGCAGGTTAAACTTCAGGACAGCTTGTTGACCTTTATGAGCTCTCTCAGACAGTGTTCATTCAGAAAAGTTTACTATGTGATATTGTGTCTTTCATATTGTGTCTTAAATAGGAACAAAGGATACCAGTTTCGCCTTGGGGTTTATTTCTTGTTTAGGCTTGTGGCTGGTTCTTTCTTTGGAAGCTGAAATATGGTTCACATCGAGGGTGAGAAACCTGCAGCTCTCCAGGCATTGGACATCCAATTCCCATCAAAGATGATGGGTACTTTAGTCCAATGACACCAGGAGGCCACAGGTTCCCCATCCTTGCCTTGAATGAAGCTTAATTCCAGAAATCTCCACCATTAGGTCCAGTCGTGGCCGACTCTGGGGTTGCGGCGCTCATCTCGCTTTATTGGCCAAGGGAGCCGGCGTACAGCTTCCGGGTCATGTGGCCAGCATGACTAAGCCGCTTCTGGCGAACCAGAGCAGCGCATGGAAGCGCCGTTTACCTTCCCGCCGGAGCGGTACCTATTTATCTACTTGCAGTTTGACGTGCTTTCGAACTGCTAGGTTGGCAGGAGCTGGGACTGAGCAACGGGAGCTCACCCCATCGCGGGGATTCAAACCGCCGACCTTCTGATCAGCAAGTCCTAGGCTGTGTGGTTTAAACCAGTGTTCCCCAACCTTGGGCCTCCAGCTGTTTTTGGACTACAACTCCCATCATCCCTCGCTAGCAAGACCAGTGGTCAAGGATGATGGGAATTGTAGTCCAAAAACAGCTGGAGGCCCAAGGTTGGGGAACACTGGTTTAAACCAAGGCGCCACCCACGTCCACCAAGGTACAGGATCATAATTTCAGAGCTTCAAAAATGCTTCAGAATCAGGTGCTCCAAAAGTCCCAGTGCTGAATGCAATTTATCAAGCCACTTCCTCCTATGGGAGATGAGATAGCAAGACAGGTCACTTGAGTGTTCAATAAGGCATTGATGCCCATAAGCAAGCATAATACAATGTCCCATCAGAATCACAGAACTGTAGGGTTGGAAGGAACCCTGAGGGTCATCTAGTCCAAGCCCCTGCAATGCAGGAATCTCAACTAAATCATCCATGACATGTGGCCATCCAACCTCTGCTTAAAAACCTCAAAGGAGGGAGAGTCCATCACCTCCCAAGGGAGTCCGTTGCACTTGCTGCCAGAAAGTTCTTTCTGATGTTTAGTCGAATCTCCTTTCTTGTAACTTGAATCCATTGCCTTGGGTTCTACCCTTCAGAGCAAGGCGAAAGAAGCTTACTCCATCTTCCATTTGGCAGCCCTTTAGATATTTGAAGGTGGCTCTCACATCTCCTTTCAGTCTCCTCTTTATCAAGCTAAACATACGCAACTCCTTCAACTGTTCCTCATAAGGCTTGGTTTCCACACCCTTGATCATCTTTGCGCATGCTCCAGCTTGTGAATATCCTTCTTAGATTGTGGTGCCCAGAACTGTGCACAGGACTCCAGCTGGGGTCTGACCAAGGCAGAATAGCAGGAAATTTGGATCACAGCATTCCTTTGGGTCATGTTTGGATTTTAATAACTGATGACTGGACATGACATTTGTGGTCTTTGACCAGGCAGTGAGTACCACTTCAAATGCTATCCAAAGTGTTGGAATGCCTCTTTCTCATTTAGGATCTTCATTTTAACTTGAGGATCCCATCCAAGAGGGAATGGAAATCTGTTTTCTGGTGTCAAGAGGCTCTTATAAACAGAGAATTTGACTGAAATTGAATGTATGCAGATCAATCTTGCATTTATTTTTTCTTTGCTTTTAACTTGTGTTTCTATCTTTTTATTATGCTATTGTTTGGTTTTCTGTTTCTATATTGTACACCACTGTGATATTTCTTATCACATGGTGGTACATCAATATTTTTATAAATAAATAAAACTCCCGTCAGCCCCGGGGAGTGTGGCTGTTTTGAACTAAACTTCCCCATCAACTCTAGCACAGTACAGGAGCTGTAGTCCAAATTACCAGGTTGTAAAACCTCAGTGCCTAGGGCTTGCCGATCGCATGGTCAGCGGTTCGAATCCCCATGGTGGGGTGCGCTCCCGTCATTCGGTCCCAGCGCCTGCCAACCTAGCAGTTTGAAAGCACTCCCGGGTGCAAGTAGATAAATAGGAACCGCTTACTAGCGGGAAGGTAAACGGCGTTCCGTGTGCTGCGCTGGCTAGCCAGATGCAGCTTTGTCACGCTGGCCACGTGAAGTGTCTCCGGACAGCGCTGGCCCCCGGCCTCTTAAGTGAGATGAGCACACAACCCTATAGTCGGACACGACTGGCCCGTACAGGCAGGGGTACCTTTACCTTTACCTTAAATGTCCACACAAACTCTGTTTTTGTGGCACAAGCTTGTTTTCTCCTGCTCTGGAGGGAAGGATGGCTTCAAGTTACAATAAAGGAGATTCTGAAGAAACATCAGGAAGAACTTTCTGACAGTAAGACCTGTTCCAAGGTGAAGCGGTCTCCAAAAGAAGGTTGTGGTCTCTCCTTCCTTGCAGGTTTTTAAGCAGAGGTCAGATGGCTATCTGTCTTGGATACTTTGGCTGAGATTCCTGCTTTGCAGGGGGTTGGACTAGATGACCCTTAGAGCCCCTTCCAACTCTACAATTCTGTGATTCTATGATCTCCCTTCATCCCTGACCATTGGCCATATTGGCTGGAGTGGATGAGGCCAATAATATCTGGCCATGTTGGAGCCAGTGTGGTGTAGTGGTTAAGAGTGGTGGACTCGTAATCTAGTGAACTGGGTTCGCTTCCCCGCTCCTCCACATTCAGCTGCTGGGTGACCTTGGGCTAGTCACACTTCTCTGAAGTCTCTCAGCCCCACTCACCTCACAGAGTGTTTGTTGTGGGAGAGGAAGGGAAAGGAGAATGTTAGATGCTTTGAGACTCCTTCGGGGAGTGGTAAAGCGGGATGTCAAATCCAAACTCAAATCCAAACACACACACACACAATCCAAGGGGGAGACAGGATTTTTAACAAATACAACTTGGATTTCAGAACTTGGCCCCCCTCTCTCTCTCTCACACACACACACACCACCCAACCTTGGAAAACATGTTATGAGCACAGAGCTGGCCAACTGACAGGAAAGTGTATTTGATTAACAGGAAGATATAATTTTCACCTAGCATGAGACCCGTGTGAACTTTTGATAATAGCAATGCTTCATCCAAGTTGAGTTTTTTGGCATGGGATGGGGGGGGGGGAGGCAATTACAGGTCAACGCAAATCACAGTGTCAAGCCGTGAGCCACATACCATTCATTGTTTAAGCATCCTAGGAGAGAACCCAACGTTCTTTCGGAGCTTTCTACCCAACCAGAACAGCCCCTTCCCTGCAACCCAATAATCAGATTAAGAATTAAGACCAACATCTCGTGAGCAAAACGTTGAATGGCCCTTGGGCGACGTTGCGTGTTGTAAAGGTCACCAACAAGTAATCTACTTCTTTGCAATGATGCAACGTGCAACCATTTCACTCTTACGTCTCTTTTAAAAAGAACCAATTATGGAAGTAGGACTGATTTGAGCACAGCCTGGCATTTGCTGTAACAAGTTGAATAAAATATTGGGAGGGGGAAGTAAGTCCTACCCCACATAATCACATGACGTGGTGCATCGACACCATATGAATGGCAACATTTTTGGGGGGAGGCCCCCTCAAAAATTTTTATTGGGGGGACCAGAAGGGCCTCAACCCCTAGGAGTTGACTCCTATGTGCCGTAGGGTCCAACCTGAGTTTACCAGGACCCTAGCGGAGGGGTCAGGATTTGGACGCCAGCCTGCAGGGAGGAGCGTGGGAAGAGAGCTCTGACCCAAGGTGTGCAGCCCCCCAAGAAATCCTCCTGACCCAGAGCTACTGAAATAAGCAAGGCACTTAGTTTCATGGGGTTGTCAAGCCAAAGCGCTCTAGATAAATTTATTGTCATTGTCCGTATATACACAGTATACACAACAACGAAAATCAGACACCCACCCAAAGACCGGGTTCACATACACATTTGCACGTATCTCCAACACTCTCATCCTATTCAGACATAATCTATAAAAACATAACATAATCCAGAATATAACATAACCTATTAAAGGCATAACATAACCTAAAACCTATCTCATTCCTTCCTACTCCCTGCTTGCTATTTCTTGCAACTGGCCCTGAGATCATTATTTAGTGCAATCAGAGCTCTCTATCTTAGTTAGTGGCATGGGCAGTGGCATAGCGTGGGTTGTCAGCACCCGGGGCAAAGCAAGTAATTTGCGCCCCCTAACCCGTGGATTTTAGCAGGGGGCAGAGAGCTGCGAGTGCCAGTGTGCCCCCCCATGTTGCGCCCGGTGCAGCCGGCCCCCCTGCACCCCACACTGGGCATGGGATTTCCCGTTTTTGTCCCCCCCCCCTCTTCCAGTTTCAGGGCTCCCTGGACCCTGGTTTTAATGCTACGGCTTTGCCCTTCAAAGGCGCGCAGAGCGTTCCTCTGAGCATACGCAGAGCGCCGGCTCCTTCTCAGCCTGGGTGGCAGCATCCCAGCCTCGCCACAAGCCTTTCCCGCTCGGTCCCTCGCCTTCCCCGCCACACGTGAGGCCCGGGAAGACGGCGGGGGGGGGTCTCGCCTCCTGCGCCCGAGGGGGGGGGTCCCTGCCGCTTACCTGTTTCCTCAGAGCCTCGAAGGCGGCGCTGATGGTGTGCACGCGGGTCCTCTCGCGGGCGTTGGCCAGCAGCCGCCTCGTCTGCTGGATGGCGCGGATCTCCGGGGACGCTCCCGCCGCCTCGCCCGCCCGCCGCCCGGGCGACAGGGACGCCTCGCCGCCGCCGCCGCCGCAAGCCGGGACGCGCGAAAGGGGCGGGAAGGGGCTCTCGAGCGGCCGGCACGCCATAACCCGGGGGTCGGCGAAAGCCTGGCGGAGCGGCCCCTCGACGTCTTTCCTCGACGCGCGCGGCTGAGGCGCCAGCAGCCCCGCGGGGAAGGCGCCTTTCCCCGCCTCAGCGCCCGCCTCGCCGCCGCCGGCTTCGGGGGCCCCGTCCGGAGCGCCCGCCGAGGCCGCGCGGGAGCTCCGTCCGCCGCTGAGGCGCTGCTTGGCGGGCTCTTTGCCCCGCTTCCTGTGGAGCTTCTGGATGCCGCCGAGCTCCTTGAGGCAGAGGCGGCCCCAGCGCTCCTCGTCGCCGGCCAGCGGCAGGTTCCTCATGGCGGGAGCCGCCTCTCCGCGCCCGGCGCCCGGCCTCGCGCTCTGCCCGGCGACGCTGCCGCCGCTACCCTGGCCAGCCGGGCTGTGGGATCAGCGCGTCATCTGGAGTCCCCGACGCGCCGCCAGCCTCGCTGCGGAATGCGCGCCGCGGCGGCCGAGAGACCCATCTGTGTTTGCTTAGCCGCCGCTGACACAGGAGCCCCTCGGGCGGGATCAGTCGGCTCGCCGCCGGCCTCTTGCCAGCGGGACGCCCGCCCCGCGCTGCCCGGCCGGTGCCCGAAGGAGCAGGGAGCGCTGCCCCGACAGCTGCGCTGCCCGTCTCTCGCCCGCTTTGGGCTCATGTTATTGCATCGCGCCCATTAAAGGCAGGCGCCTCCCCGACGCTCCCTGGGATTCCCGCCCCGCCGCCGCCGAATCATCTCCATTTTTAAAGGTCCAAGGAGCTGATAAGAATGAATGGCAGGTGGCCGGGGTTGTCCCACTGTCGCCCAGGGTGGGCTGCAAACTGGGGGGTGGGCTGGGATAGGTGGGAGGGGGTGTTTGACAGCCGCACCCTGGTTCTCAAACGGTAATCCGTTCCAAAACCAAAGCGTTCCAAAACCGAGGCGCGCTTTCCCATAGAAAGGAATGCAAAAAGGATTGATCCGTTCCGGACTTTTAGAAACAACCCCTAAAACTGCAATTTAACATGGTTTTTACTATCTACGGAGAACATTGATCCGTCAATTGAAAGCAATAAGCAATGTACTGCAGTCATGAGGTTTGAAAATCATTCGACGCGGTTGATGGAAGTCTCAGGCTTATAGCCAAAATGTTGTATAGGATGAGAGGAGATGTTCTGTTCTGTTTGGGAAATGTATGCAAAAACTAATAAAAATGTATAATAAAAACGAAACAAACAAAATGTACTGCAGTCACACAATCAGTAGCTGAACTGGGTTCCACACAGTCACACTCACAAAAAGAGCCACAAAAACACAAAATAAATAGCAAAGACAGACAGACCTCAGCGTAACACTAAAAAGGGAAATGTGGCACTCAAAGAGGAAGCGTAACACTCAAAACGGAGCATGTTTGGCTTCCGAAAAAAGTTTGCAAACCAGAACACTTACTTCTGGGTTTGCAGTGTTTGGGTTCCAAGTTGTATGAGTACCAAGGCGTTTGAGAACCAAGGTACCACTGTAATTGCAATTGATCCTTCCATATGTAGGTTGAAGAGAGCTTCAAAAGCCTGTCAGCAAAATTAAAAGCTTAGGAATTAGGCTATGTGGCCTAAGTTTTGAGCAAGTCCAGTCCAGCTATGAAGGAAGCTGGCTCTCCCTTTCTTACCCCGCTTAACAATGACTCAGGCCACAACTTAAGAAATATGTTTAAAAATCTAATTTAATTACTTATAATCTTGCATTGCTTCACAGCAAGGGCAGCAGTAAAAGCCACGCAGGCAAAATACTTACATTTACAGCATAACCAGCGTCAAGCATCAGCCTGAGCTACAAACAAGCAAAGGCATGTCTGCATCTCACTGGTCAAAGGAAGGGGGGAACAGGAAGTACTATGTGCTTCCTCTCCAGGAGAGGAAGGGAAATGACATCACACAGAGCCCTCTCTACCAATTGTGTTTCTATGGTCTGAGTTTCTGCCTTGCCTATCTGCAATACAGCTCTGTGGACTTAGCCCCTTCTAATGCTAATTAGCAAGAATATGCAATTGTTAGGTTTGGCTGCTAATCTCCCACGCATGGCAGAAGCGACAAAAAGCAACGCGCATGTACACAGACGTGCCATCGCTAGTTACGTTTGCTTCTGGATGCGAACGAGGCTCTGGAATGGATCCCATTCGCATCCCAAGGTACCACTGTAGTTTAGGAACTCTTCCCATTTTGTAACCAAGCAACATTTTACTGCCCGTGCAAGTTTTTTTAAACTGCTGTATGGAAAAACACATGAACCTGACCTTTGAAGAATTTTGTAAGTAAACTTTTTTATAACTTACCAAGCGTGTGGCCTGTATGCTACGGAAGTGGGATACTTTAGGATTCACTGGAAAAGGCACATTTTAAAGGTTTTACAGCCTATACTTCCATGCTTTTCTTTGCTGCATGTTTTGCCATGTTAAATCTCTGCATGGGTTCTCTCACCAAAGAGTACTTGCCCCAGTCTTGGGTTTGGGCTTCAAGGGATCCCGACATATTGTTGTGGATGGTGCTACATAATCCAAGAAAAGCTATTCACCTCAACAACCTCTCCAGAATGGAAGGCAATGGGAAAAATGGAATAGAACTTGAAGTCATTCTCATTCTAGTAGCACCGCAGACCAAGGACCTGGTTGATCTCTCCTAGCAGTTTCATGTCCTAGAACAGCTTTTACCTGGTACCCTTCTGATGGTTTGAGCCCTCTATTTCCATCTGCAACCAGCTTTTTCAGATGCATTTAAAAAACAAAAGCAAAACTAAATGTTAAGGAGCAAAGACAGAACAAGCTCAGTGGATAAATAGCTTGGCCATGAAAATGAAGCTGAGACTCGATCTTGTATTATGGGCTTCATTTTAATTATGGTGCCACAATTAACCATAAAGTAGCATAAGCATTTCGATTTTATTCATTTGCTTGCAAGACATATATTTGAAATTTATTTTGTATGTATGTTGCAATGTGTAAATGCACATAGTGAAAATCGTTCATATGGAAGAAGCAATGAGCTAGTCCTACAGGAACAATTTTATAATGAAATATTGAGATAACATAACCCCCCCACACACACAATTTGGCATGCATACGTCAGTCCCAATTTCTATGCTTAAAAAAAGCACTTCCATAAAACTACATTTATAAAAATCAGCAGATTGATAATATAAAGAATATGAGAAGACAACATATAGTATTAATAAAAATATCTTCCCCAGTATTAGGATTAATGTAGCCCGTAGCATTGCCTAAAATGTACACTGAGAGTTGCTAGAATAAGAAGTTGGTGGTCTCTCACTGGTGGTTTTTAAAGCTATTTGGAGACTTAGAAAGCATATACAGGCAGGATTATAAGAGAATTCACTTGGAATGGAATATGGCTGGTGAAACAAGGTACGAAACGAGTCTTTCCCTACCCAATATATATTGAGCGTGGCCAGCAGTGCTCCCATTTCATGAGTAGCAAGTGCAGTTTATTCCTTTCTAGTGAAAAGCTCCAAGATATGTGTGTATCATCAGTGTTGTGCCATTGCATAGTAAGCAAATAGCAGTGTTATATAGGTGTTCAGAATAATGTGTGAGAGCATGGCAGAAGGTATAGGATGGCAGCTGCTAACCTAGCCTTTACTGGTGCCTCCAGGCAGGGATTCTAAGTACTGAGCTAATACTTATTCTCCCTTAAAGTACCATATTTTTCGCTCCATGAGACGCACCTGACCATAAGACGCACCTAGTTTTTAGAGGAGGAAAACAAGGAAAAAAAACATTCTGAACGAAACAGTGGATGTATGATTTTTATGGTTCATGCTGTGGCCACAGACATGTGATTTGACAGTGAGTTTGGGGTAGCCCAATGCAAAAACCCTGAGGATCCATGGGCTTTTACCTCCCCCCTCCCAGGCAGCCTCCTTTACCTCTAGCGTCCTTTATCTCTCTCCCCGATCGCTTGCCGATTAGCGGCTTTGTTTCAACGCCCACTTCCCTCTTTCAAAATAAAAAGCATGATCTGCTTTTTGCCCCTGGGCAATTCGGCTCCAGGGACCACGCATTCACTCCATAAAATGCACAGACATTTGCCCTTACTTCTTAGGAAGAAAAAAGTGTCTTATGGAGCGAAAAATACGGTAAGTCTCTACTCATCCTAGAAAGTTATGAAGCAAAATGTGCAGGTACCTTCTAATCGCCACCTGTGAAATGAACCAGACTGCTTGATCCTGCCCGCCTGTATATTTAGCCAACAGGTGAAGTCGGAGCTGTGATTGGTAAGTGAGTTGTTTGAACATTAGGAATCCTTGGGGGCCTAAAGATCTGCTGTTTCCTCCTCCAGTTTAGTACACTTTTCCTACTTCTGTAGTTCTTGGAATCGCCATACTTTTCCCTTCCTTTTTTCATAGCAAGCAGGAATGCAATTTTTTCCTGTGGTGGGTTTGTCTGAGATCAGGTCCTTGCTAGAAGTTAGTTTCCGCAAATACACAGGAGTATTTTGTGTTGGCAAATGCAAAATGTTAGACGAGTCCCCTCACCGGGTGGCAAATGAAAACTTTGCAAATAATTTTAGGCATGTCTCCTGCTGTCTAGGACCAAAAGCCAGCCACTCATTTAGAATTCACTCTATAGTGAACTTACAGTATAAACTGCTTTGTTAATTATACCTGACCTCTCAGCAACTTCCAGTACCATCAACCAGGGTCTGCTTCTAGGGTGACAGTCCGAGTTAGGGGTGGGTGACGCTACTCTGCAGAACAGTGTGCTGAGATTGTTCAGCGGTGCACCAGGATGTGCTGAGGGAACTGCAGGTCATGTTCAAGGTCTTATTGCTAACATGCAAAGCCCTGAAGAACTCAGGACCAGGTTCCCGGAAAGACTGCCTGTTTCTGCACAGACCCGTAAGATCACTTAGATTAGTCGTGGCAATTCTACTTGTGGTGCCACACCCTACAAAATATCAGGGTGGTGATATGAAAACAGACATTTTCTGCTATTGCCCTATACTATGAAATATCCTCTATCTGCCATACTTGAAGCAGCAACTATCAGTTGCTTCAGGTGTCTTATAACGGAGTATATTTTTGCTCAAGCTCTTCATTGACCCATAAGATTGGACCATAGTTTTTATATTCTTTCATACTACTGTTTTACTGGTTTTATGTCATATTTTTGTTCTGAGGATATTGTTTACTGTTTTTATCTTGTACACTGTGTAGATATTTCAAAAATTTTGATTGGTTTATTATTACTAGAATAATAATAGAAAGCTTCTAAATATACTGGATAAATATAAGAAATGGTCAGAAGTCCTACAATGTTTCCTTGCCTGCATATTTTGTTTCCCTGTTGGGAAGCAAGCAATACCTTTTGGCAACACAGATGAATTTATCTTCTTTGTGCATTTCTCTGTGTGTGAATCAGGAAGGGGAAAACTTCATCACAAGAATCATGATCAGGAGCAAATATAAGATGGGGGACACCTGGATCGCAAATAGTACAAGTGATTAGGATCTAGGGGTCTTAGTAGACCACAAGCTGAACGTGAGCCAACAGTGTGATGCAGCAGCAAAAAAGCTAATGCTATTCTAAGCTGCATCAACAGAAGTATGGTGTGCAGATTGAGGGAAATAATAGTATCACTCTATTCTGCCTTGGTCAGACCACACCTGAAATACCATGTTCAGGTCTGGGCACCACAATTTAAGAAGGATATTGATAAGCTGGAATGTGTGCA